GCCCGGGGGCCCCCTCCGGCCGCGGCGCTCGTGGGCAGCGCTGTGTGGCGCGTGGAACGCGCGGGGGCCGGGGGCTGGCGCTGGGAGCGCGCCGTCGGTGTGGACTGCAGCGCCCCGGAGCCGCGCTGCCTCTGGCTGCCCTGCCTCGTCCACAGGGACCGCCGCGCGCCGGGGCCGCGCCGGGCCAGGGTGAGCGCCGCTGGGGGGGGGGGGGGGGGGGGCGGCGGGGCGGGGGCTAGGGGGCAGGGGTCCGGCCTCGACGGGGAGGGTAGGATCGGGCCACCAACTTCCTGGGATCTTTGAGCTGAGTGCGCCCTGCGTTGTGGGACCGATGCCCCAGGAGTGGGGAGTGAGCGAGGAGCTGGAGACACACGCGGGTGAGGGTGGCAGGTTGTGGCTGGGAGCTTTTCCTGGGGTGCTGGATGAGGACTGGCCAGTCTGGGTGGTGGCCTCCAGTGGCTCAAGCCTCTTGGTTTATAGGCAGCGGAAGGACGGAAGGGACCAGGGTTGTTTGAGGAGATGCCGGGGCATGGAATCCTGAGGAGTTTGGCTGGCAAGGACCCCGAGTCGGAGGCAGGCAAGGATCATACTAAGTGGACTGGTGGGCACCACTCCGCCCTCTCCCTGGTAGGGGCTGTGGGCACAGGGGCATGCACGGGTTTCCTGGTGGGCAAAGGAGGCAGAGGTGGCAGGTAATGAGTGATCTCAGGGTGAGGACTGACAGGGCTGGAGATAGGGGGTGGGGACAGTGTGTCTGATGTCCGGGATCGACCAGGCTGGTAGGGCGTGAGTCACAGTGGGCGCCGTGCCCAGCATGAACGCTGTACTCCCTGCAGTGACCTCTTTATGCTCCTAGGGGGGAGGAGCAGGACTCCTGGGTTCTGGTTCCTGGTGTTGCCAACCCACCACGTGTCCAGTTCTAATTTGTGGCCCTGGGGCCATCTGCCCTCTTCGCACCATCAGTTGGTATTTCTGGATGTCTCTTTCGTTCCTGGCATGAGGGCGAGAGCATTTGGAGATGGATCTGGGCCAGGAGAGCCGTAATCAGTGATGTCCCTGTGTCCCCCGAGCGTCTCCCTCTCCATCCCCTTGTCTCTGTGCCTACCCCAGAGAGGCAGAGTTGTGGATGTGTGTGAGCTGAACCCCTCCCCAATCTAGTCACCTTTCTGTTCCCATTGCTGGCTCATTCTCTGTTTCTGTGTCCATCATCTCCCTCCCTGTAAAGATGAGAGCCAGACCCAGGGGTGTCCCAGGTCAGAGGGGAGGAGAGGAAATGTGTGAATAATAGTATGAAGCACTGAGGTTAAATCCAAGGAAGAACTTCCCACAGGGGAGCCATCAGGTCTGGCTGTCCATGGGGGCCGTGGTGTCTCCTCTTCAGGCCGGGGTGTGGGAGCTGTGGCAGGGGGATTACCACACTGACATTCTCAGGAACTGGTTGGAAGAGATGGGGGAAGGGGGACTGAAAGGAAGCATAAGAGGAAAGGGAGAGGCAGAGATAAGGGAGGGGGTGCCAATGGTGTTTGGGCCAGGAGGGGGCCTGAGAGAAGAAGGCCTGCCCACTTCCCTGGGTTACATCCAGGCCCCTAGAGAGTGGCACCCCAGGCAGCTGGCAGCTCCAGGCAGGACGTGTGCTGGAGGAGGGGTGGGGGGCGTGCGGGGACCTGTCCCAGCCACTTCTCGTCACTGGGGCAGCTGGTGGCTTAAACCTTAATCCAGGACACCGGCAAAACAATGGGCCCTGCAAACAGCCTCAGCTCTGAGCCCCGGTGGAGGGCGTGCAGGGGGAGGCAGTCCACGCTGGGGAGGCATAGGGGCTTCTGGTAGGAGCAGGCAGGGGGGATCCGCCAGGCCCTCTGCTCTCCCTGATCAGTTCCTTGCCAGGTCAGCAGAGATAGGAAATCCAGGGGATTTCGTACCTCAGCAGAATTCCCAGAGAATCTTCTCCTCTGGACTCTTCGGACCCCCATGGGGGTGTGGAGCTCAGTGGACAGGCTGGGCTGGGGCTACAAGTGGAAGGAGCCGAGGGGCCATCGCTGGACCTCCTGCCCCATGCTGGAATCTCAGCCGCGGCCTCCCAGACTGGGGATCATCCAGCTTTGGCTTGAACCCTTCAGGAGAATGAGCGCTCACGTCCTCAGCTGGTAGTTTTCCAGACGGAGATGATGAGAATGGTCTCCCTGGCCTGGAGCTTCACTTGGTCCCTGTACCTTCCACCTTGGCTGTGTTCTCTGGGACTTCACGAAGCAAGCCTACTGCCCCTGTCATGTTGTTCTTTAGTCTTCTGAAATTTGAGTCTCAAGTCTGCCTGACTACAACCCCACCTCCCACCCCAATACAGAAATCCCCAGCGAAGGGCTGGACCCAGGGCTCTCTTCTACCAGAAATGTGAACAGGCTGGTGGTGGGGTGGGGGGTGGGGGGCTGGGGGGGTGGATACACAAAGGAGCTTCTTAGCATCAGTACATCCAAGTGCCAATTTGAGCTTTCTCAAAAGCAGTTGGGCGAGGGAGAAAGGGGAACTTAATAGAGAAGCGGGGAGGCCCTCACCCCAGAACTGGGGCTTCCTCCGTCCACATCCAGCCTGCCTTTCTTCCCCTGGAGACTCCGGGCTCGTGCCAAGGAGCGAGGGGGTTGAGGAGACTGTTGAGGGTGAGGGTGAGCCCTCTGAGGTTTGGATTAGGGCCCCCCAGACAGGTTAGGATGCCTGAGGTCGGGGGTTAAAGCCCCGAGGGAGGCATCCTGGCTTTTCACCAGGCAGCCCGCCCTTGTCTTCCGTCTTGGCCAATCTGCCGGCCGCCTCCCTGTGCACACAGGCATCTCTCTGACGCCCTTCTGTCACCCGCTTTCCCTCTCTGCGTCTGAGCAGGGAACCTGAGGTGAGCCCTCTCTCAGGCAGTGTCCGCGCTACTCTCTCTCCCGCCCCAGAAACAGACCTGTGTGCCCTCAGACCCTGGTCTTCAGACATCCCCTGCCTGTCATCTTGGGGAATCCCAAGTATTCCAGCGGGTCGGCCAGAGGGCAGCCGAGTATCTCCCGCCACCCCCACCCGGTTCCCCTCTCAGATCCGGTGACCGGCCAGGCCTCTGGCTGGGCTCCGGAGCTCCAGGAAGTCCCTTCAGTTGTCTGATGTCCAGCCCGCTCCCTCGTGGCTCTAGTCCCTCACCTGTTGCTGCCGCTGCTCCTGAAGGATGCTTGTGCGAGCCAGTCTGTGTGCGTGCGTGTGGGTGTCTGTCTGCAGCATATGTTGTGTGCGTGTGCCTGTATGTGTAGGCATGTGTGGGAGGCTCTGATCACGTGCGATCGTGTGCGCACGTGTTTGTCTACATAGCCTGTGTGTGTAGATTCATCTGTGCCTCCGTGTGTACCTTTGCACGTGAGTGTGCTTCTCTGGGTGTGCGGATGTGTCTGTCTGTGTGTGAGATTGTGCAGCAAGCGGGAATGAGCTCAGCTGGCAGCAGGCACTTCCCAGGCCAGAAGGCCCCGTGTCCAGATCCTGGAGCGTAAGAGGTGCTTGGCGAACATTTGCTGAGCCGACCTGATTGAGAACCTGGCTGGCGGCAGGGAGTTACTTCCCTGGGAGCAAAGGTGCCATGAGGGGCTCGAGGGGAGAGAAAGAAGCAGCTTTGGACTGACGAGCGAGCGAGGGAGAGGAAGGAAGGGGGTGAGGAGGAGGTCGGGGAGCAGGGGAGCGTGCGTGGAACCCCAGGGCCCTTGCCCCCCCCCCTCCCCCGCTCCAGGCCCTCCCCCTGGCTGCGGGAGGCAGTGTGCACACCTGGGAGTGTGGGTCACACGGCCACTCAACCCTGGTTCCCTGTGCTTCCACAGCTGCCGCTGGGCCCGAGAGATGGGTGCTCCCCTGGGCGCCCCCTCCCCTGGCAGGGGCCGCGGACACTGCTGCTGTGCAAAAGTCTCCAGGACGGCTTTGGCTTCACCCTGCGCCACTTCATTGTGTACCCCCCTGAGTCAGCCGTGCACTGCAGCCTGAAGGTACACCCACCTTGCCCGCTGCCCTTGCCTGTCCTGAGGAAGCTTCAGTGGGGGGAAGGGAGGTTTGTCTGCACTGTCCCCTCCACAGCCCTTCTTCCGTGGCCTTGGGAGGAGTGTCCCTGAGAGGCCGGGGCAGCCCTGGCTGGGTCACTGGCACTGTACGATTGTGGAAGAGATCCCTAACTGCCCTGGGTTTGGTCTTCCCAGGAGAAGGGTGAACGGTTCAGGGCGATGAACTTGGGGGTGGGGGAAGCCAGGACGCTCACGCGCACGCCCAGACTCTTGGCCCCTGAAAACTGAGCCGCCTTCTCGAAGAGGTGAAGTTCCTGGGACTCCTTGTCCTGTGGCCACTTCTGAGCTGGCTTTGTTGCTCCCTCCCTAGTCTGAGCTCTTGGGCAGTCCATCCTAAAACACCTCTGGGACTCCTCCCAGAGTGCCCCGGGCCCTGCACTCGCCTCGGCTCTGGGCTCTGGGTGCTGGAGAGCGCCAGGCCGGGAGGGGGGCGCCCTGGGTTCTAATCCTAGTGGAGCTCTTTACTTTGGTCTCACTCACTGGTCACTTCTCCTGCTGTAATGTGAAGGCGTCTATGTACTTGACCCCCACGAGCCCTTCTGGCCGTAGTATAAATGTCAGGTTCTCTGTGCCTAACCTACAGTGTGGGCTGGGGGCGGGCCAGGCATGCGGGAAGAGCGAGATCCTCGGCAGGAACTGGGGCTCCCCAGGAGGGCCCCCCTCCCTTCCCCCACCTCTTTCCCAGCAGGGCCTGAGACAGACTTATTTTGGAGTCAGTGAACCTGTTACTCCCCCCCCCCCCACCTTCAGGGCTGAGACCAGCTGTTTGGGGCTCTCCTCTGGGGAGCTTGGTCCCACCTGCCAGAGAACCGGGGCCTTGGGTTTCACTGCCTGTGTCTGTGTACTTGCATGGCTCTCTTTGTGTGCACTTGGGTGCCCAGTATGTGGGTCATACGCATGCATGTTTGTGTATGTAGGCGTGGGTAGACAGGTGTCTCTAAATACACGTCTCCAGTATGTGTCCCTGTGCGCTCTCATCCGTGTCTCAATCCGGGAGCACCTGTGTAAACTATTCTCATGGCTGCAGCCGTGCTTAAGAGTGTAAGTGGGGGCTGACGGTGTGTGAGAGGGGCACAGCCCCCTGCCCCTTGATGCCCAAGGACACCAACCTTCTAGTTCCCTGGAACCTCCAGTCCTTCCTTTCCTCTTCCCCCAGAATGTCCCTCCTGCCTGGCCCCTGCCCCTTTTTCTCAGGGGGCCCTGCTGAGGGGTGACCGGGGTGGAAGCAGCCTGAGTGGCCTAGGCTGGGTGATAGACCTGTTTCAGAGAGACCTCGCTCACGTGGGGCGCTGGGAGACCCTGGGCGGGGCAAGCCAGGGGTGGATTCCATCCCCTTTCCAGAACCTGCCCAGGGCTGGGAGCCTGCAGGGAGCTCAGCCGTCTAAATGCATCCGTCTGCCTTTGCCACCCGCTCACTGTGCTGTCAGCTCACATCAGCAGGCGCGCACCCCACACAGGGAGGGCAGGGGCAGAGGGACTGCTCTCCAGCAGTGCCCCACAGCCTTCATGTCCTGGCTGGGGTGCCAGAGACTCCTGGGTTCCAGCCCTGGCTCGGAGTGGCCCTGGATAAGTCACGCCCTGTCATCTGTGGTAGAATGGATGGTCTGTGGACAGGGGTAGATACGATGATGCTAAATGTCGGATCCAGCTCTGACGTGGGACCCTGTCTCGCTGGCCTCCTTTCCTTCATTCCAGTTCCCTCCCCAGATCCAGCACCCTCCCTCTCACTACCAGGATGACCCCAAAGGTCTCCCTAGTGGGTCTCCTGGACTCCATTCCTTAGCCCTGCCGGATGCTAGAACCCTGTTCCCTCACTGGTATGTCACATCCACTCTCTCCCACCCAAGAACCTTCGCTGGCTCCCTCTTTCTGTCCTTTCAAAGCTGAATGCTTTAGTCTGACTTCTGTCACTTGCTGGTGTTGCTTTCTTTCTCGCGTCGGCTCAGCTGATGCTGTCCTACAAATGCTTGTTTATTTCTGCTGCCCAGCGCCTGCGTACTCCCCTCCCCTCACCCAGACCTCCCTCTCCCCTCCCTCCTCAAACTTGCCTTAAAATCCCCTCCCCCAGAGGGGTGCTAATCAGCCTTCCCTTCCCATTCTCTGAGAGCTGATAGCCACTGTTTGCACTCGTCATGCCTGCTTATCTGTGTCTGCCTGTGTGTCCTCTCTCTGTGCGTTACGTTTAGTGCCTCCTTCATCGGGCTTGGAGCTCCCCAAAGGAAGGGGTCATGGGTCCCCCACTGGATTGGGGGCGAATGGCTGAAATACAAGGTGGTGGGATCAGCAGTCATGAGAGGGGGTTAGTGTTATTGGGGACCATTGCATGGGGCTTGATGACCGTCCCCACTGACACCCCTCCTGCCTCGTCTGGGCACCAGGCTAGCTGAAGGAAGATAAGAGGGGAGGCCTTGGGTGGGGGACATCGAAGGGCCCGCCCAGGTGGAGCCACTGAGGGCTGGACCCAGGCCCCACACCCACCTCTCTGTCCCCTGCAGGAGGAAGAGAATGGAGGCCGAGGAGGAGGTAAGGAGTGGTGGGGGTGGGGCCCAGGGCTGGGGCTGAGCTGGGGCCCGTTTTCCAGCTTCCGTTTCTCTCCCGCTACCCAAGTCAGCCTGGGTTTTGCTGCCTGCCCTCCCACCGCCCCCAGCCCTGACTGCTGTCCAGTCTTTGCTCTTCTCTGTGTCTGTGCTTTCTCTCCTCAATCCTTTTTCTTTTCTTTTCTTTTCTTTTCTTTTCTTTTCTTTTCTTTTCTT